TTTTTTGTTGGAAAAAAAATATGCGCTTTGAATGTATTTACTCAATACTATTAAAAAATATGGAAAAAGTAATTTTTAGTTCAGTTAAGTTTAGCGGAAAACGCCAAATATGTTATTGTTCCAATTATGGAACATTGTGCAGTGAAGGGTTGGATCAAAGGGCCAGACAAAATGTCTACTACTTAGGATGGTCCCATTTCAATTCTGTAAAGAGAAACAATTTCTTTGGCTACTTTGCTAAGTTGTGTCGAAAACAGATTTTTTTTTTGAAAAAAATTGCCTTTTAATGTTAAAAAACGTTCAAATTTAATTTATTTAATTACAAGAAACTCAATTTTTTTAATGATGCTCGGTTTCCTACACCACCTAGTAAAATAGTCGTAGAACTCGAATCTACTTACAAAATTGAAATCAGACCACCCTAAGTAGTCAACATTTTGTCAGACTTTTTGGTATAAAATTCCATCAAAATAGCATTTATTTGTTGAACAAATTGTATAAGTTAAAAATACTTTGAAGCCTATACAGATTAACCGGATAATTAATTGACACGGTTAAAATTGATTAAAATATTGCCTATATAAAACTACATTAAAAAACGTCCCTTCCAATTTCAAAAAAAAAAAAGAACTGAAAAAGGAGTACATGACAAATTATAATATAGATAAGAAACTTTTATTTAAATAAAGAGTTGGCAAACGTAAAGGTAATTTTCATAAAGCCCTACCAAGAGTGGTTATTTTTTAGTCCAAGCCCAATAAAACTCATTATTGGTTAAATTCCCAACTTCTTCTTGATTGAAACAAAACAAGAAACCCGCCAGATGTTTTTTTTTATAAACTGCTATAAAAAAATCGTAATTCATATTATATTGCATACATTCCTCAAATTGTAATTATCATACCATAATTTTATTAGAATAATTTATTGCAATAACCGAATGATTTCGTTTTAAAATAAATAAATGCGCATTCACATAATAGGGCTTCGGACACACGACAAGCGACCTTCTTAAAAAACGCTATTTATTGGATAAAACAAATATTATATTTATTAGTTCCTAAACGTAACACACAATATTGTGCAATTTGGGTGAAACAAATCCAAGGTAATTTGATAAAAATTGAATTGACCGACAACAAGCGATGACATTAGAACTTCTGGTATTTCGTCCAAAAAAAAAAAAAAAGAGGTCATAATATTATTATAAACTATTGAAGACGGTTACACAAATGGCACATCATTGCACACACACACACACAAACGATAGATAGGCGCTGTCTCTATTAAAAAATATATTCTGCGATTTTCATTGCAAACCAGTTGTGCAGACGAGACACACCAAAATGTCATCGGCTAACAATTTAATAATTATATAACAATAATCATTTATCTCGCAAAAAGTGGTTTTACTATTGAAATTTAACAACACGACACACACACACACACGCCAGGGTGACATTTAACAAGACTATTTCTAATGGCAGTTAGATGCATTGGCAATGTCTATGGAAATATTTACACCGAGAGCCATACATACATAATGTGTAACCACATTGTAATTAAATCAATTTAATATCCGGTAAAAGTAGAATGGCAAATGTAAATAATTGTAAACTTGCAATTTCCAAGTCATTGTGGTCAATTTTCTAACTACATTTTTCTCTGCTACTCATATTTAGACTGTTATAAATAGTGAAGTGTCACGCATAAGAAATATTTCTCAAAATTCGAGCTTAAAGTATCGCCTGTTATATTTCACATACAAAAAAAAACACAATAATTAACATTCTCTGTAAACACCATGTTGTTATAGATTATAGACATTCATTCATCAATTTGATCTTTTATTTACATGCGGACTTTAAGATAAATATTAGGTTTATGAAAATATTTTTCGAACAAATAACGTTGGAATATATTTTTGATTCAACTATTCCATGGGGTATGTTTGAAAATAGGACTTGACAACTTCAGGCACCGGTTAATTTTATTTGATTTTCCCTAAAACGTTGTATACATAATTTGTAAAAGTATTCAAACCGTGATAGGTTGTGTAATCAATAAATTCCCCAAGTTTGATTTCAAAGACCGCCCTAGTAAAAATGTCATAAACAGATTTATTGCACAACATGGTACTGACATTATACAAAAAAACTGTCGTCTCGAAGATGTTTGTCTACACCCAAGTTAAAAATATAAAAAATACAATTTTAGTTTTCAATATCGATTTTGAATTATACAATTTTCGAAAAAAAACTCTTCGAAGGGATACAGTTTTAAGGGGTTTTGAAAAAGGTAAGGAAATCTGAACTTGCTAAATATTTGTAGCTCTAAATTGAGTAGTTTTTAACAATCGCCTAAACAGTATAATATGCTTTAAAAAGTAGTTTTTGTGGTGTCCTATTAAATTCGAGTTAAATTTTAAAACGCCATTATTTGGTAGTATTTGATTGAAAATTTCAGGAACACGTTAAAAATATAATAAATAAGTAATAATGACTACACCACGGCCAACAACACCGATTAAAAAAAAAATATGTCATTGTCGCGTTTTATTGTGAAAAATATCATCGCGCCCATTAAACAATATTATTACAACATTAATGATATTTAAATAGAAATAGCGTTGTGGTCAAACCGGTCGGGTCAACTTTAAAAACATGCCTACCGTGTCATTCATCTTGAAAACTATAAGAAACAAGTATGGATATTATAATAATAATAACACCTAGGTCAATAACAATATTTAAGACCCAGCGACGGCCAATAGCTTACCTAAAACGAAACCGGTGGTATTGAGAATAGAATTATGAACATTTTCATAGTAAGAACAAGTCGTCCCAATTACATAACCCTCTTAGTTTTTAAGTAGGCAATTCTCAGTTATATTTGCATGAAGACTATATTACTTGATTCGCGTTTCAACCGTGTCTTCCACATTTTAAAACTTGTACATTGTTAGATTAGGTTCAATAGTTAAATTTGTACACACCATCAAGACCAAAGTATTAAAGAAATTCGATTCGCGAAACAGGAAATTTGTTTTTGAAACGTTATCTCGCAAAATTTGTTTTGTAAACAAGTTTCCCCAAAAATAGATCAAATTGTTTTTTCCCCCAACATTTTACCATATTACCTTCTCAGAGCGCACACAATGAAATTTACTGTATTATCTCTGTAGGTGTTGTGAAATTATGAAATCAATTTGCTCTATTGTCTATGAATATGGCTATTTGTATGAAACCATTCATTCCCCTGTTTCATTAAACAACCGTTTAATAGACAAAAATGTAATGCCGTGGATTAAAAATTAGGACAAGACAAGAAGATCAATTGGCGAATTTCTATTTATCAAATTGGAAAAAGTAAAAAATCATAAGGGAAATGCCTATCCAATTGTAGGTATAGTCTCCAACATTCAATTTAGAAATTTAATAGTACATTACAAACAAATTGACTAAAATAAAATGAAAATTAATATAAATTAATCAAATTAAGATCATACAGCGTGGCTAACCTCGAGTTCTAAATAGTTACTCGGTTAGGACATTATAAAAAAAAAAATTCAAGTTAATATTAAAATAAGAACTCGGCAAGTTGTAATAATGACAAAATTCTTAAATACATTTTTTTTTTTTAAATTGAAGTGTTAAATATATATTTTTGCACATCAAAGAATGATATAAAATACAAATATTATATGTACTTTATTATCGATATTTATTTTGTTGATTTGGACTTCAGTTCATATCTGCTACCTGATTTATGGCGATTTTTGTACTATATAATAATAAAATATTCTCTGTAGTCTAAGCGTTGACGGACCGTTTGGCCATTCTCGATCCCTTAAATAAGTAAGCGGTACAACATCCTCCTAACCAGTTGTTTATTTATATTTCAAATAAAATTTTTGAAGCAATTATAACAAACAGTAATACTTCACAATACAAACTTTAATTTCAATTATAGACAAAAATTAAAATTACCTACATGAAATTAGTGATCGACAAAAACAATATTATAAAAATGACTAAATTTGATATTATATTACTATTTGTGATAAATGGTCTTGTTTAATCACAAAATCACATTAAAAAATGCAATTGACGTAAAATAATGCAATATTTACATCCTTAGATACATTTTTGTCTTTTCCATTGGATCATTATTATTCATAATAGAAAATTGTTTAACATTGACTACAATAGAGCTATATTTTTCTCATTTAATTTAAATGTAACAAAAGTTTTTTCATAAAAAATTTAAAATCTTATCTAACGCTAAACAAAGAAAACAAAATATCAAATTTTATTTTCTCTACAATGACTATTAGATAGATTATAAATCAGAGATTGAAGACGTGTTACCAAGCCAAAATTTAGTTTATTTTTTAATAAATGAAGAGTGAAAGTGTCAAACATTCCAAGTGCCAAAGTATAAAAATTGAACTTTATAATTTGATTTGAATTTTATTCATTACCGAAAACACCTAGCATATTTTTGAGTTTTAAATATGATTGTTTTTTTTTTTTATAAATAACTATTCTTTACTTGAAAAATTTACAAAATTGTTTCCGGTAATGAATAAAATACAAATCAAATTATTTACAATTTTTATACTTTGGCACTTGAAACGTTTGACACTTTCACTCTTCAAATATTGATATAACTGATTTTAAAGTTATATTTTAAACCTTAAGGAACGATATAAAATATTGTTACTGGAACAAAACGTTTATTCCTTTCCAAAAGGCACAATTTTACTTTAGAATGCTTTTAATTAATTTCTCTTTCTTTAAAAGTTCAAACTAGAAATATTCAAGTATTATTCATTCTTATTAACAATTGTTTTAGTTATAACAAATAACGTAAATTCTGGTTTTGAAATGTTTTCAATAGTTGGTATACCTTTATTACTCGTCAAAGGATTAAACGTTAACTATAATTATACATTATTTTTAATATAAATGTAAATACATAGAACACCTAGTCAAATTTGCGTTTTAAGCAAATTTGACCAAATCACAAATGGCATTTAAATACATTTAGAATGGTATTTAAATTAGATGTGTAAAACATAAAAGTATTTGTAGGTACATATTACTTTGTGTCTACGGCTCGTTTTACATCTAACGTGTGTCGTACACACGTTAAATTTTTTCATAGGCAATGTACTAATGGCGTTTCGAAAACCGAATGCGTGCTTACTATACACGTTAGGCCCATGGACTTTAAAATATTTACTATTAAACAATAAGTATACTATAGATCAATAGAATACATAATGAAACCAAAACATTAGAACATATTAAGCCCACTAAAATGTATACCTGTTTTTTAGAGGATAACTTGTTTAATCTGGTCACAGCGGATGTTGTCTCCCACAAGAGAACCACCACTGCAATCCCCTCTTGGTGTTGCATTACCACCTAGAATGAAAATATTGCACATAGTATATAAAGAAGCAGAACTGAAATAATTATTATACATTCGACAACCACTCGAGTCTCAGTACACGTTTTACACAAACAAAACAAAAAAACCCTAACAAAATGTCAAAACTTGTGGTAAGTAAAACATGTCTATTATTATTATTAATAAAAATAATACATTTATCAGTGTTAAAAATAACAATTTGTGCTTTGTTTTTTTCCCCTATGCACAGATCTTGCTTTTGGTGGCTATCGCCCTCGCTTTCATCAGCTCCGCCTCCGCCCAATTGATTGTTTACCCGACCAACTACTACAACCCGTACGGCTACACATACCCGCTGACATACAACTACAGATTTGGAGCATACCCTTACCTTCTACGTCGTTGAAAATAAAAAAAATGGTAAGTTTTACAATAACTATTTCCAAGACAGAAGTTAATATTTAAAAAAAATATATACAACAATGTTATGGCACAAAATTAAACGTTTCAACAAAATACTATTTAAACAACATTTTATTGGCATTGAATTTTGCACCAAACATTAATATAAAATTGTTCAAAATTATTGAAAACATGTTTGACAGTAATTTTGAAAATATTAAACATTTTGCTGTCTGGGTAAAGTCAAGAAAGAAAGTAGAACTTAAGAAATTTGATAATTAATATATATATATTTTTTTTTTTAACAGGAACTCGACCAGACATTCTTCTTTTGCTATCAATCAAAAATCGACTCCTATTTCATACAGCTCATGTACAAGATTTCAACCACATTATTTACTACTTCTAATATTACTAGTAAAACTATATATTAAATAAAATATAAAACATGATTTATCGTTAAATATAATATTTTTACACTGATAAAACACTAATGTGAATTGTTTTTTAACATCCTTGATAACATACATCATCTCACTGTCGTGCCAACCCACAGAAACTTTTTGCCCAATATATGTTTTAAGAAAATAATGAAATTAAAGAACATGATATTTTTTATTCATATTAATTTGTATAGTATGTTAATCACCGGTGACCCTTGAGTAGTTTTTAAAATACAATAAGTATTTTTATGGTTAAAACACACTTTATATATATATTTCAATAATTATTAAAAATTACCTTACTCAAATGAAAATACTACACAAATTCATCTGACTTCACAAACAATAACTGTGTTCCAAGTTGTTCCATTTGGCATCATCAAATCCAGGTAATAGTGGTTCTCTTTAAAAAATAAAAAATATATATTAGAAGTTTAAAAAAAAATAATACTAGAATAATATTAATTACCTACCCTTTTTTTCTTCTATTGAATATTTTTAAGAAATGCGGTCGCCAAAACATTTATGAACAGCTATTAAATCTGAAAAATAAAAAAAGTACACATTAATTACAATAATTAATGCCATGTTTTAAATTAACAGGAACACAAACGTTAGGTTCACAGCTATAACAATATAAAATTATGTAAAAGTAGGTAGCATTTGTTAGTTTAAAATAACAATTCTTGAAGTGTACAACTAAATTTCAAAAACCACAGCACAGATTTTGAAAACTTGGAAGATACATAATAGTTCATGAAAACATTATTTTAGAAGAACAAAACATAATTTTCAACCGCTCATTTCTGTACCTCGGATATGGTCGAGCGTTAAGTCGCATAACGGTAACTTTAAATAAATTATAATAGGAACACAAATTGTATGGCTTGATAAAAACTCGGGTTCTTTATGTAGAACTGGAATAACCTGTGAATATTTATTTGGACTTAGTTTTGAGACACAGATTTTAGCTTGTTCTTACCATAATTTTTTAAAAACATTACTTTAGATGTCATAATAGATTTTTAATAAAAAAAATGAACAATGCGGCTCAACCAGATCCTAAAATTATACTTTTATATTATATATATATATATATATGTGTGTGTGTACTTTTTTTTTTTTTTAATTGTAAATTTTAATTGATAGTGATAGTAAAAACAATAAATAGAGAATAATGTAAAATGTCAATTACGCTCTTTTGACTTGGAAACGTTGACACTAACAGCTATGTTATAACTGTTAAACATAATAACACTAGATTATAAACTAAATATCTACTAGTACTAATTATTGATAATTTATAATCAATGCTAATAATTTAAACACGTTCCCTACATTTAATAGAACATATAATTTTACTTTTTTTTAATATTATTCAGTGATAAAAAATACATTTAAGGTAAATCATTTTTTTTTTTATAATTCATTTGAACATTTTTTTACCTAATACGATTTTCTCAGCTTTGCGTCACTGGTAAAATATATCATTTAGAATATAAAAAAATATGAAAATTAGATGTATTGTATGTGTTTTTGAATATTATGTTTTATTTTATAATAATTATACAAAATAAATTCCAAAATACGCTGCGGAAACTACCGATTGTTATGTTAATTTTTGTTGTTGTTCTTCTTCGATTATCGATGCATTTCAAAAAAATTTTACTATTCACCAAAATACGTTTTATAATGTAAATAAATAATATTTACCATACTTAAGTTGAAATAAAAAAAAGAGGTTATTTTAATTCCAGGCTCAAGTGTTTATTTAAATCAGCAGCTGTCATATAAGTTATTGTAATTTATAACTAACAGCTTAAGTTTATATTATAACTATGTTAATTAACATGTTACAAGTGAATTTGAAGATGGTGTTTGACACAAGTAGGTACTTGATTCATTCAGTTAACCCACTCACTCAGAATGGTAAACATTCATTTTGATTGAATATTTATTTTGTTATTCAATGGGCAAAGACCACGCGGCGATTTTTTACTATTCAATATATACAGTCAACCTGATAGGACTATAGCGTATTCTCTAGGAAAAAATAAGCAAAGGAAATTACAAAAATTGAGTATAAATGCTGTTAAAATTAATAAAATAAAATGGTCTTGCAAAATACAGGAAATCGTATTTAACAGAGAGGTAATCTGTGCAATAAACAAATGAAATGTATCTATAGTTCCCAACGATGGCTATTCAAATATTTACCGGCATTAAACATATAATATTTGCCACACTACGTAACTACCATCGACATTCATTCTTTAAAATTAAAAAAAAAAATTCATGGACTATCAACTCTTAAACAGCCATAAGTCTAATTTACACACAGACATCATTGGCAACAAAAAAAAAATCCTATAAAAATGTATAACGCACAATGCGTACAATATAGTAAAATTAAAATTAAAAAAACCACTGTTGCCATACTTAATGGCAAGTAGAACAAAACAAAATCAGCAGTTATTAACAGAGGAACAATACAAGTTGGGCATCAATAACACCGATTAGGTTTCAAAAAAAAAAAAAAAAAAAAGGAAATGGGTAAATTTTGACATCCGTCTACATAATTTTGTATAAAAAATTATATAATTCCAGTCTGGAATGAAACAAGTTAGGTGGCCGTCAAAAGCACATGACAGTGTAAACATGTTAACAAACATTATGCAACAGAATACATTTTAAAAACTAGTTTATATTGTTAATATTCGCATAGTAAAATATTGATTTTTCAAACTGTGCGAATGAAAACGACGGCGAAATACACGTTTGGGAAGGTCTAAGGTTATATGCGGTTAGAAAATGAAAATACATTATGATGCAGACAGCAGACACAAACAAATACTTGGGAAGGGGTCCAAGAAAATCAATAATGCGGCGGCGGCCAGCGTCACTTGAAAACACCAGACGCGATGCACAACGAGTGAAGCAAATTAAATGAATGGGAATGATTAATGTTCGGTTGAAAATATAGCAAAACACGGCCAATCTCAAAATTCTAGCAGTTTAGCCCCGTTCGAACCGGTCGCGCGTTTTAGATGCCGGCATATTATTATCACAAGTTTCCCGGGGGAGATTTGTCCGAATTAATTATTGAGTGTTTATGTGCACGTACCATCGCCATCGCCGGTTTAATGAAGATTTATTTTTTTTATGTAGTTGATGTAATTCGGCACCACATGTGTTCTGTCGCTTGTGCCGGCGGTTTTCACTTTTCGCCAGAGATGAGCATCGATAACAGTCGACCGTGTGTGTGTGTTCACACGACGAGTACCAATATTGGTAGACATTATAGTATACACGATTACAGCGTTTCGGCGACAAACCGTAAACGAGCCCACACTGAGAAAAATTGCACGTCTTGATCTTTGGATAAATTTCAAAAATAAAAAATAAAAAAATTCAAAGATACACTCAATATTTTAATAAATAATGGTCGACCGCTGAAAGAGACACTAGCCGAGGACCGAGACACGATTCTCGCAAAACGCCGGACGGCTTGAAGCGGCGTCGGTCCCTCGGTTTGGTCCGCGCAGTGTAGCCAACCGATCTCGCTGATCTCGATAAACATAACAATGTACTAGACATTGTTTTCCTTTGCAAATTGCAGCTATACCTATGTAATTTAAAAATAAAGTAGTATAATTACAAATTAGTAATTTTTTTTCATCCTCATCCGGTGTTCTGTGTCCGACGGCATCGAGCACCGAGCAGTGGTTTTAAATGGTTTTTCGGTAAATGTATTCGATATGTGATCTGTATATGTAAGATGTTAGTAAAAAAAAAAAATTGTCTCGTTTTTGTAAATTTTAAACGAGTACCTACTAGGTAGTATGACTTCGGGAAATGTACACTGTCTATTGGTTACCCTGCGCGCTTGTATGTGTACAAACAATATTATATATGTATATAACTCCTCTGATTGCGGTGTAAAAACATCAGTTGACGAGGGGAAACTGCAGCAATGGCCGTCAGCATCCCCTAAATGCGTTTTCTTCCCTGTAGTAGTCTCTTATAAACCCCACGCCCTTCCATATTATAGTTACTTCTGTTTTAATACATTTTTTGATTTCTTTTAAATAGCCCATTGAGGTCCTGAATGGTGAGGTTTAAAGATTTGCCTCGCCATAAATTGATTTTCATATTTATGGCGATATTATTTTAAAAGTTAAACAATTTGGCGTCCTCTTAAATATTGCCGCCCTAGTAGTTGGTCTTCAGATTAAAGCTGAAAATGCTAACATTGATTCAAGTATCTTCAAAAACTACAGTATATTTAGCATTTCACCCTGTACTGTAATCTACAAGGGTTCATCTGCTCAAACTATAAAGCATTACTAGAAAAAACGTTACCACACTTATATGAGAAATTAGAATACATCTTTACTGTATGCACTGTTTTATTTAATGTTTTACTATTCTTGTAAGACATGTTTTAGAAAACAAGATGTGTCTCAGATTAAATTAACATTTAACATTAATTTTGTTAACATTTAATAATAATTTTACCATGTCTCTGTAGTAAGACGGGTCGTGAATTAAATTTAAAAAATGCCTATTACTGCCTTTCTCATCAATTGTTTGCTCAACATTTAAGTACATATTATGTAGCTTGGCTTAAAATTGTAGTGCTGTTAAACTACAACCCCAATGTTCAATCAAAAGTGATGAGAATGACCATACAAGTTATTTTTAAATAAACAGTCGATAGTAAATATTATTAATAAGAGCAAAACAAAAGTCGTGTAAATTTAAAAATACTTATTAACTTTTACCATTTATTTTACCTGGCCAGGTAATCATTTTATCATTTTAAAGTTTCGTCATCATTTTATTTCAGAACTATCCACAAGTAAAACAATCCAAAAAGGATCGCTTACAATATAAACCAAAACCAAATTTTTAAATAATTTAACAACGCTGTCACTTTTTTATAGACTGTTCTCAATATGGCCGTATACGCAGAGGGTACCTATAGATAACCATAAGTGTAAGGTATTGGTAATAAGTGTTGGTGGAAAAAACAAATCAAACGTGTTTTTTAGGTACTGATAAAAAAAACAATAGTTTATTTTCAGAGCAATTGAATATTAAAAATAAATAAACAGTACAGAATAGAAGGTGTGTTGTGAAGATGTCATTTTATGAAATTGATAAAGACTCGTGCTGTGTAAGTAAGAACGTTGAGCGAAGAAAGATCCAGGAAGCCGCGGCGGTGAAGTACATGACTTGAGTAAGTGTTACAGACACTTATCAGTTGTTGTCGTGTGTATTTGCTTCGTGGAAGTATGTGTGCGACTCGTGCGGGTCTATCGGCGGAGCAGCGGGTAGACAATCGGGTAAGTCAACGGGTAGTTGTACGTCTGGTACTGCGGGTAAGTGTACACGGACGGGTAAGTGGCCGGGTAAGTGTAGATGACTTGGGAGGAGACGGCGGCGATGAGGGCCATGGCGGCGACGAGCAACAACTAAAGAAGAATGCACATTTTTACTAATTAAAAAAATTTCAAAAATAAAACCAAACCGCCGGCAAAAACTTACCATTAACTTGTACATGATGATGTTTGGTTGAGAGGTGTTTTCGGGTTAGAACTCAAAGGTATTTTTAGCAAGACGTGATGACTGCAAATCACTGATATCCAATCTTAAATCCTGTACGGTATATATAGGTACTCTGCTGCCCCAATCCGCATACTATGTGTACCGCGCATAACCCCACCGCGGCCCACTCGAGCAATGTGTTTTAATAATTTCCAGCTGCGTTTTCAGCATAAAACCAGTTTGTCGACCAGTTTTTTTTTTTTTTACTGATCAAGTACATGCGACAAACCGCATAAACTATTTGTGATATTCGGGTAAAAAAAAAAAATATGTAGGTATTATACAATCGAGACGGCGGATAGTTTATTAATAGTGACCTTGAGCCGGAAATTCTGTAGGTTAGTGGTGTATCTTTTTTTACATATTATGAACCGGCCCTTGACATTTCAGACGTTTATATTTTTTCAGCACCTGTCTTTACAGAGTCTGCACAATAACTTGGAACGTGGTAGGTACGTTGTAGGCTTTAGGCATTTACCAGAATGAAGACGTTGGCTATTTAATATTTTTACACAAGTATAATAACTGTGTAGGTCACTGTAAATGTATACAAATTGTTGTGACACATTACCATCTTTTAGTGCGCAGATTATGTGAAATCCTCTGATAATAAACTTTTACAATGTAGGTAAACGGTAATATCTATTAATATGCAATTACCGACTTTATAGTATGATTACCAAATGTTTTTTTTTTATTCCTATCCTTTCATCTCCGTTCTTAGAAACTTATAGCAACATATTGATTAGCGAGAATCGAGGTTAGAAATGTACAATTTCTAGTACATATTTAAATATTATTGTTATTGGAAAAGGCGTAGTGCACTGCAATTCTAAAGCTTACACATTTAACTATACGTAAATATAATTATATTTTTATTGAAATTGGATTAAAATACACACACCGGCGTAGGTACATTTCATGATTAATAGTCGTTAATGTATCATTTATAAATACATTTATGACTCAAAGGTCAGAGCATAAATTAAAACACTCAATGGCGTTTCCAAAAATAATTTTAAAAGATTGACAGAAACGTTACCAAAAAAAAAATCACAGAAAAGTATGAAGTATACAGTAGTTCAAACCTTGGCATTATTTAAATTATTTTATTTGTAAAAATTCAAAAAACTAATAAAAACGAAAATGTATTTATAAAAGTATTTAAATAATAAATCAAATGTTATTTTAATTTGAAAAACTTCCCCAAAAATAATTTCAAATACATTTGTAAATAACAGGTTATGAAAAAAAATTCACTTAAAACACGAATGAGCATTTGTCATTGAGTTAAAGTTAATTTGGTAAAAAAATACATTTTTTTTTAATATGTTATATAATAAAAAAAAAACCCAAAAATAACTATTAATGCATGCAATTTATAAAAGAGAGGCTTAAACAATTATAATTATTATTTTATAAAACTATTATTGAACAGTTTAAGATTATTATATATCTCAATTTTAGTTAATTAAACAATAGCAACAAATTTAACCAGGTTTTAAAACATAATTATCTTAAAATGTAGGTATATTTGTTCTCTTTAAATGTAAGTGTCAAAAGATGTTTTACATTTTAAAAAACTATTATTGATTGAACTGTTGAAAAAATTAATATGTGGTCAAGGTTTTTTAAGATTAAAATATATGTATATATTTAATATTACAGACAGGGCATGACGTTTGAGTGGTAAAAATAAGTTTCTTTAAAACTCTACCTACAGATCTAAAAACATAATATTAGGACTTCTTTTACATAGAGTAATATTACTATTAATGATGTGATAGTGAACACAGAACATATTAGATTTCGAAATTTTACCTATTTCATATATTTAATATTTCACAACAGTAGTTCAATACTTAAGTATATGTATGTATATTATATATTATCGAAGCAGATGAATTTAGAAATGATAACAGTTTATTACTCACAATTCTTTACCCGTAGGCTGTAATTCATTAAAAGTTAATGGATTAAGTTTTTACACAATATAGACCTATTAATGTACATTCATTTTTTTATTTTGATACAAGATTAACGCATATAGCTTATCAGTAATATATTTATGAGCGGTAGTTTAAAATATAATAATAATTGTAATAAGAAATACATCTTAAAATAGACGTGATTTCATTAACATAAAGCGTTTCGCATTAATGTAGTTATATTACTAGGACTGATTTTTTTTCAATTTCGGTGGCAATTCTCGTACAAACAGAGTAAGTTATTCATAAAATCTCTATAATGTATGATAATATATTTAGTGACCAGCTATTATTTATATTCCATGTTTATTATTCTTATCTACCAGTTAACGATATATTATATCTTAGGGTGGTTCTTATTTGCACGATTTTTGGATTTAAATTTTGCCGCCACCCTACTCGATTCAAAAAAAAATATGTAAGCCTACTTTGAATTTTCTAATCCAATCCCAACCATTCGCTGTAAATTGTAACGAGAAAAAGTTTTCTGTTTAAAATACACGCAATTTACCTATTTTAATTTAATTATTCTACTGCAAAGCTAAATAATTGACGACAAAAATTCATTTAATATGAAACCGTCGGGATCAGTGCTACTTTTTAGTAAAAAAAAAATGTTAGATTCTTCGCGTTCTAGTGTTGGTGTCACTGTTTTAATGTTTTAAAGTGAGCACTCGATATTACTTCATAATGATTCTACTGGAAAATGAAAATTCACCGTGCTAGTATTTATATTCTTTTAATTTTTTTTTATTAATAATTTAGTTCAGGGTTATTGATATTAAAATATATTTCTAAATCAAACCGTTTTTAATAAACCTTTAATAATGGAACTAAGGAATCGAAAATTTGGTATGAATTTTTTTTTATGAAAAATAAATGATTTTTATTCTAAAATCTAATTTAATTATTTCGATAGAGTTGTGAAGTACACAATGCTTGAATTTCAGAAATCGTGCAAGTAAGAACCACCCTAATATAATGTATACAAGTTACATCCTTCTCAAAATCATTAAAATATATTTATGTTATTAGTAAAAGTGTGTAAAATTAGTTGTTATAATAAAATACAAAAGTGGTTATAATAATATATAATGCAAAAAACTGATTTTCCATAATAAAAACTGACGTGCAAATTTAGTAAATTAACTGAAAATAAAAAGGTAAGAATTTTTTTAGATATTAGTTCTAAGTAATAATAATATTATTATGATATAAACATAATACAGAATACTTTATTATTACCACATAAAAGCAAACTTTATTTAAATTATTTCTAAACACGTAGAGACATTTGGGCCATTTTCAGTATGATATTTAAGTACAATATATCTATGATGATAGTTAAAAGTTTATTAGTAATCAGATTTTACCAGTCACGATTAAGGTTTTTAACAAGGCAAATATAAATAGAGGTATTTATTGTTATTGTTATTATGTTATAATAATAACAGTATGATGATACTTTAATATCACCATTTATTTATCAGATAAAGTTCTCATAATGTAAACTAATTAATACTTTTGGTAATGTTTGAGTAAATAAAACTATTAATATTTTGTAATAATTGGTAGAACTTGCATTACTAAAATTGTGCCTTATTGTACTGTGCATAGGCAAATAATGGTTGAGTTGTGTATATTATGTAGTTATCATTACCTAGTTATTTCTAAGTGTAATTTGGTATAAACAACTGATACAATAATATTGCGCATTGTCTTGTTTATATTTTATGCATCTAGAGTTGTATGGGACTGATCAGATTGGTTTTTAAGAGTTTTAATAGAGGTATAATCCAGAATACATATATTTATATATTTATTAAAAGCTCTTTTTTTTTTAAACAAAACTTTATTTTTTTAGCTCTGACGCGAATACGAGGAAGTATTGGTTTTACAATTATTATGTGTGTTATCTTGTTTATTATAATTGAACAAGAGGATTTAAAATCGGTTTAAAAGAACGTTATACTTCGCTTTAAATGTTTGCAGTTAAATACTCCCGTCTCTTGGGTTTCTCTCAATGGAAAAAAAAAACAAATGTTACAAAATATTAGTGGAAATTATAATAACCAAAAAATTTGGTTTGTTTTGGTTTTTAAATTTTTTATTGGAGAAAAACTAATACCTAAATTATGTTCACAAAAAAACATTTTATTTTTAAATGTTAACAATGAAATGAAAAACGTTGATTGGTATATGAGTTTTTCTTCCATGCCTATTCATTACAAGGCCCGGCTTGTTACTTGATAAGAACTATGAGGTTAAGAGTTGTTATCACTACATCACGGTATCAATTTTAAAGTTGTACAATATTATGTTCTAAAATTATTTTTGAACATTTTTGTTTGAATAGTGTTATTAGTTTGTGTTAAATAAAAAAAACCGTAGACAATAAGTGTTAGTTATGAAAATCACTCAGGTTTTGTATAAACAACACATTGGGCGTTTAATACAGTGGCAATGGCGTGCCCAACGGAAGAAGGCTGTTGTCGAAACGAATGCTTTTAAAGTTCTCGCTGCTAAAAATATTCCTGTTGTGGATGCCCTGGAATTTATACAAGAGCCTATATTAGAAGCTCAAAAGATGGACGTCAAGCAGATATTCGACAATATTGTTGGACCGTGTGAATTGCCGCAAAAAAAAGATCATACCCATCCGTTATGGAACGACGACCCTTGCTTTGTATACCGTGACAAAGATGTACTGGTTCACGGCCTCGATCAAGCTAAAGTATTTACTAATACTGTTGAACCCGATAATGCTTTGCCACAGCATGTGCAGGAATTATATGGTGCGTACAAAATTCCCAACCAAGATGAACGTGTACAAAAAATTATTAGCGCTTCCGTATTGTTTGACGCCGTACAAGAAAAGTTACCCATAAAGAAGGATAAAGAGAGGCCAGCATGGAAATATCCCAGAGACTACGGTGTACCTGCAAAGCGACGCAACCAACTATTAACCAGTAGACTATTACAGTTATGCGAATCGAGCGCTGGGAGTATGTGTTCTAGCAGGGTTATAGCTAGAGATGTTTTTTTCAAAGTACCGATTCAAAGAAATGCAAATGTGAGTCTTAATTTGAATGCCAATCTGTTACTCTTATCTGACACTCCGTTAGGTTCATATTTGGATAACGCAACTGGTGATTTACCCGATATTTATCCTTTTGATTGCAAGGTGTCCTTAGAAGAATATAATATTTACAAAAAAAATGAATTTATTTCACCTATAGATGGTAAATTTAATAATATTCACACGGTATTTGTACATTTTGATGACACCGAAGTAAAGAATCTGTATGAGACGCCTGTAGTAGAATCGCAAATCCTCGGACGTTCGCTTATGAAGTGTTACGCGTTTGCAGTTGCCAATGCAAAATCGAAATTCGGAGAAGATGTTGTTGATTTACCAGAACCCATTACTCTTCAGTGTGTTCACACTAATGCCAGTTGGTTCCATTTTTCCGTTTTCCAGCTGAACAGCTTGGCCGGTCCTGAAGACAACGAGAAAAGAAATGCTTACTGGCAAGCACCGTTAATGAATTTGTATACAAATTGTAACTACGAAGAAGGTATACCAGTCTTGGAAGATTACAATCCCGAAGTGTTCAAACATTTTTTGGCATTTTATATGAACGGAACCGGATACGGAGCTGAATAATTCCTTACGTTAGTCGACCTTTTTACCTGTTTATGATTTGTTTTGTATTTGCAATAAAAAACTAATTTGTTTTTAGAAATGTCTTAAGTTATAATTTGTTATGTAAATCTTGAAAACCTTAAGTGTACTGTAATCCGTAAATTATGGTTTAAAAATATATGCATAGTACATATTATTGCGAATACCTTATCTCAACAAATTGTTATTGAATTTTATGTATTTTAGCAATTTTAGAATGAATACTTTTTGTTCATAATTTCATAGATTAAAACAATAATATTTCGTTATTTAATCTATAATAATTTGTTATGTTAATATAAAAATGTATTTAGACGACTAACTAGAATTGGAAAAGAACTAGGTTTTTTTTGTATTGTTTATTTAAAAATGTGCAATTGAAGTTTAAAAAGTATTTAATCGAACAATTATTACGACTCTATACAAGCTAATACAAGCCATATTTATATATTTATTTTAATTTTTGGAAGGGGCGCAAATGTATTTTTTTGTTACCCGTAACAGCATGTTTTGCAATCGATTAAAAGGCAGTAAATTTATACAAATATGTAGAATGTTAAGTGAAGCTAAAAAACACCACAGTCCAAACCAAGCACAGTCTGAGCTAAGCACTTTTTAAACCAACTCCTTGAGAAAAAATGGAATGATATTATTTTGGTTTAAAAATAGTTTTTAAAAGAGGCACACCTAATAAATGTTCCAACATAACATTGTCGGATCGAACAGACTATTATAATATTTATGGCAAATAAAATTGAAAGATATAAAATTTGCAATACATTTTTTTTGGGGGGAGGGGTCTATTCTAAGAGTAGAGAAGTGAACTTTTCAAATTTTACACTCCCCTCCACAAAGCGCAAACTAGACACAATTATTACTGATTGATAGACTTGCTGATCAAGTAAATTAATCCAGCGGTTTTTAAGTTAAAATAACACAATAATGTGTTTTTGTGTTTACAGAAGTACTAAATTGTGTTAAAAACTTTAAAAAGTCTCTTTAAATTGATTTGCTCGTGTTTTTTTAAAAAATAATTGTTAAAAAATTACTCACATAGAATTCACTTGTTCGCACACCTAATAAACGGATTGAAAATATTTTTATTGTTTGGTAATTTTACAATTTTTTTCTGTAAAACTAGAAATCAATATAACATAGTATTTGTGGAACTGTTTTCAGAACCAAACTAGATATATACCCCACGCACAGATGCTTTTTAATAATTCATATTTTTTTTCTAACTCTAATGAAGTTGTGTTAAACAAGTATTAGGTTGAGTTTTGTGTATAATAACTCTATAGATAGATACGCAGATGAGAAATATTTCATTGTATTTAAAAACTTTAAAAAAAATGCATTCCAAAATCTAGCAAAACATCCAAAATATGAACATAGGTATATTTCAACGTAAAATTACAGCTTTGTTATAAATTTTTTTATTAGAAGTCGAATTATAGCAACATATTTTTTAGACTAAGTATAATAAATATACTGTTAACAAACCGACAAATATCATTTGTTCATACAAATGTTGTCGAATAAAATTATTTACTTATGTTCAAATACTTATGTTTTGCGAGTATAATAGGTTAGTATTAGTCACACCATATCGTACGAAAGACTTGTATTTACTATTAATTAAATATAAAGAAACAACAATGATTGCTGACATGTCTGCATTTTTGTTATGTTGTTTTGCTGTAACGTCAAATATAAAAAAAATCCAATCAGTTGATAACAAGGTAAGCATTTATTTTAAAATCTGTAAAATAATTTCGGTACATTTTTGTAAAATAAAATAATTATTTTTGGCACAATTAAGAACCTTCCGGGTAAGATTTCTAATCTATACACGAAAATATCGGTTCAGCAGTTTGAGAGATGTCGTGGGTCCAGACACAAAAAATTATAACCCAAACACCACATCATTGTAAATATAATACATTTTGAGCTCCGGGTCGAAGCTAAAAACTATATTAAACAGCTCAACACACTGAAATTGGGTTTATTTTATTTTGAAGCTAAATAATCATTGGATAAAATATGCTAAGTAGATTTTTAAAAGGCTGACCAAGGTACAATTTTGTTTTTAATAACACGTACCATGCGTTATTAAACGAAAATCCAACTTCTCCAAAAAAAAAAATACAAATTATTGAAATTTTATTTTTATAGTATAAATCTGTGTATTTTTTTAGATTTATCCTATGCGATTTTTGAATAAAACATTACCTGAAAACTATGTACATACCGTAAAAAAATGTAAGACATTCAACAAACATAGAATTGTTATTACACCTGCATACTGGAGTATTCTGTCATCGCCCAGTGTCGGCAGTAGTCAAGTTTACTCGTTCAAATTAAAAAGCCAGGTGAAGTTCGAGAAGAAAGTTCAGGACATCAAATGCAGTTTTTGTGCAATCACAAAATCAAACATATTGCATTTGAAGGACTTGGTTGAAAAATTAAAAAGCAGAGAACCATTCGTTAGTAACCAGCACGATATAGAACGTGTTAAAAAGGAAGCCGAAATTATAGTTCGTTTATTGCTGTTGGGAAATGTTGAAACGGGCAAATGGCTTTGGAGTTATTTTTTGAAAATCATAGCCATCAGCAAGTACGACGACAATGCGACTTTTATCAACGAAAATCCGTTCGACGACGAGCAACTGCAAACCGACGTTTCGGATTTCATCGAAAATTGTATAGCTGAAAAATACTTACCTGTCGTTGCAATGGAATCCGACTTTGTGTGGAAAAACACTAGAAGATACGTCAAGATGTTTCGCCATTTACGTTTGTCCGAAGGGTTTTTAGGCGTTTTACTTGGCCCCAATTACAATGCCACTATAGAGTTTTTATACTTAAAACCATTTTGGGACGACCAAAGACAGCTGTTGTTGTTTGGGCAAATAACAGGAGCCAATGTCGACTGGAGTACGGCGAAACAACGACATGAAGTAGAGGTATCTGCTACCAGAGAATTTGTGGAAAATCGCACTTGGATATACAAACCGTACGGTCGACATGTCCACCAACAGTTGTTGATCAACATAATCGATGCTAGAATTTATTGTTACCTTTCGGTTGTACTGCATGTTTATGAAAAAAATTTGCCCATACACAACGGCATAACTGTGACACTGGTGAAATATTTTTTAAAAAAAGTTATCTATGCCGCGTTGGAATTGACGGCGTACAAAGATGATTTTCTCGTGGGAATTTTATCAGAAATCAAGATGTTAACCGTAGACAACATCGACGACATAAAAGACATTCTGGTAAGAGTGAAGGCAAAGGCCAACGGTATCCTGAACGATTTAAACGGGACCAGCACAAGCCGAATCGATCGGCTCGGTATCAACGTTGATGAACCGGCTACCAACAGTTTGATAAGAAGATTCATTAAGAAATTCGAAGACTTTTTGACCGACTTAAAAGACTTCTTGCCGGTACGATATAAACTGATTTTGCATTTTATGGATGTTGTTAAAATGCCCACTGTTCGATACGTTTGATTTTTAAATTAATAACACATTTGTCGTACCTTAATCAAGTTTAAATTTATTAAAAGAATAACGTTTAAAAATAATTGCAATTTTTTAGTGACAGACGTTGTAATTATTTACTTATGCTGTTTAAACTATTTAAATTAAAACTATGGGCTACCGTAAAATGTTATCAGAGACATAATAGGTTTGGGTTAATTATACCATACACGAAATACTTTATTGTATTATAGTTATAATTTATTATTTTGAAATAATAAAAACATATTATTAAAACAATTTTCATACATCAATAAATGCGTAAAACCATTGCACTCACAACTTCGCATGTGAAACACAGTTATCCAAATTAATGAAAACAAGTATCGATATTGGTGGTGAAAGCTACGAACTAAAATGCATAAAAAAACTAAGAAAATTAGGATTTTTTCTCATTTTTTTGGATTCACTAATTATTAAAGATTATTTACATTTTTCGATTTTTTTTTTAAAGTGCACTATCTAGGTGTATTAATTTTGCGATAATATAGATAATAGTATTTAATTGTGCATTATCAATTTATAAGCTTAGGAAATAAATTTACATTCGCCTGATTTGATTATAGTTACTCCAATAATCCTAACATAAATACTATTTTAATATCAAATGTATTTATTAGGCGTTTATAATAATGATATGTTAAATATAATGATTACATTTCTAAAATGGAATGCCAGAAATAAAGGTGGCATAATTATTTTAAATGGACTGTCAGAAAGTAAGAACAATCGAGGGCCTCTTAAACATCTATAGATGTAGTAAACAGCTGAAAAAAAATTGCACGTGTATTGTTCAAATACTAAAAAAGTATGTTGTATACTTAACGCAATAAAATATCAAGACAACTCGTGTACAAATTTATCGCTGAAAAAAAAAACAATAATTATACTGCTTTAATATTTTTTAAAAGCCATACGGCATACCAAATTATCTGATTCGAATAAAAGAGATCATATAAAAACGGAACATTTCAGTCAAAACTTAAAAAAAATCAAAAGCGGCTCATGTTATTACAATGATTTGATGGTATTTTCTGGTGTCTTAGGCTTAACTGCTTTTAATCTTGTCAAATAAAACTCAATTAAAAACAAGTCAAAGTTAAGTTACGCCTATATAAAATAGTAATGATATTATCGTCCCAGTCCGTTGAAGTTAGGCCAACTTTACTACAACATGTTCATAATAATGTTTTATTTTACAAGCTAAAACTCAGTTAAGCCATTAGAATATCTTACAACTATTCGTTTTTATCAAAATTATTGTAGTAATAAAAAATAAATACCAATGAGTATCTTTGGAATTGTTTCGTATCAGGTCGAAACTAAGTGAATAAATGATTTTGCAAATGTATTAAATAACCATATAATCACCGTTTCATGCATAATGGCTACACGTTATTCTTTCCTTTTCAGCAAAAAAAAAAATAAATAGAAAATCGCAAGACTCTTTTTATCAAAAAAAGGAGGGTGATACACCCTACCCCTGTCATCCTTTAATTTTCAAATAACGCCACTGACGGTCACAATTGTTCTTTGAGTGTATTACTATAACTATATAATTGTGTTAAAACGTTAATTTCGGTATAAGAACAATTCAAAATGTAAAATTATATAGTTTAAGTACTCAATAACATAAATCAGAAAACCTTGTATTGTACTCCATAAATTATGCTTTAACAATATATGCATAATTATTTATTTTAGGGGAATGAGGGTTTTAAATTTTTTACCTCTTTCTAGCCTAAACCAAAATCTCGGAAAAAGTTGGATGATAATTTTTTTTTTTAATGCATATCTAGTAAATGTTTGGTTTTGGGATGGATTGAGATTGAAAATTCCCCAGGGGGATTCTGAGGCTTCTCAGTCTAGGTACAACCTAAGCCAAAGTTATAAAACATAAACAGAAAAATATGTTGCCCTTGTATTGTTGAAATATTAACGTGTTTTCATTTTTAACCAAAAAAAGCCAGTACTTTCAAATAAACGCTTCGATGCGAATCTTTGGATAAGTTCAAACACTTACACTTCAAACCAAGCATAGTTTAAATTATCACAGCAAGAAAGTATTAATGTGAGTTTCAGTGTCCCCAGATTAGCATAAAAATGTTTTTTTTAAAAGTGATTGTATACGTGTAAGCCAGTACAGTGGAATCCGGGCATAGTGGAGGCATTGAGGTGTTAGGTTTACAGGAATTATTGTAACTTTCAAATAAACGTTTTATTGCTATCCGTACCCACTAAATTTTATTTTAAATAAATCCATAGTTGTTTTATAAATAATTTTATATATTATTAAGGCACGTGTCACTGACATGGTGTTTGCATATGCGTCGAGCTATGAGATATTACAAAGACATGTAGCATATGTTGTAGTATAGGTAAACAATTTTGTGCGGTATGCGTTACAAATCTATAATATTTTGACATTCCAGCTCTTAGAACAGCGCTTACACGAGTAAAAAATTGTAAAATTTAATGTCGTACATGATGTATAACCTTTTAATAATTTCAATTTTAACTGTACTTGTCATCACAAACATTAAAAACGGAACGAGGGTAAAGGCCATGCCGGCAAAGCCGCCGGTTCCGCTGACGAAACATCAGGTAGACATGGCCAACGCTATATGTCAACAACATAATTGGCCCGAAACTTGGTTTACCTCACTCAAAGATGACATAGCCAAAATAGAACGCAGATGGGCAATTACAAGCCGTTTACTTGGTAAAGAAGGTAGACCCGGACCGTGGAAGAAGTTTCGCTTGATTCCTCAGTTGATGGGATGCACGTACGGGGTAAAATTTTATTGGTTTCTCTTATTAGCTGTTCGGGTTATTGGCGAATGTAATGAATTGTCGCAACAGCAAAATGGCGACCCTACCGATTGTTGGAGTGAACTTACTGAGGGTCTCAAACAAGGTTCGGATACTATGGTATATGTGATGCGCTCATTGTCGTACTTCTATTCCGTATCGGTTAACCTCGGTTTGGATATTAACTTAGATGTATTTTATCGAAATACGTCGATTACCCAAAGTTTTCTAAACGAACGTGGCGTCGCGAAATATACTGCTGTATCACCCGAAGGTTTAACTTACATCCAGCTGATAGAAAGCCATATCGTTACCTTGAAGACTTATATGACTGAGAACTGTGAACCAGAGTGCCCAGAGTTAAATATTGACAAGTTAATAGAGGAGTTTGAAGTTAATAGAGAAGAACGATTCCCTAGAGCTAAACTCTACGAGTTTCATGCACACCTAATGACATATTATATGGAAGAGGTAAGCACTCATTTGTTGGACATTGGTTTTCGTTATGACGTGGATACTACCTTAATTTTTGAATAATAGCAATCAAACAGTATTTTGTCTAATAGTTTATTCTTATAATATACAAATAATGACCAATTAATATATTATAGTTAATAAAAGTTCTCTCAATTATGCCATGGTATATATGTTATATCTTATAAGATTATCTATAAAACTAATTATTATCAAAATTAAATGATTTCATAAAATATGCAATAAAAGTAAAAACTGTGTTAATATATATAAATTGTGTATTAATTTTGATAAAAAACACCGAATGTCACTAGGTTTCCATTATACCAATAGTGAAAGTGGACCTATTACCACCAATTTCCCTAAGCTAAACTTCCTCTAAAATACCAACCACATTTGACCACACTGTATACCAGAAGGATATTTTTCTCATTTTTTGCTTACACTGACATGAAATTATTAAAGTTTATTTACATTTTTCTATTTTTTTTTTAAGTGCACTAGGTATCTGGTCTTATTAATTCTGCGATATTATAGATAATAGCATTTAATTTTGTATTATCAATTTATATGCTTAGGAAATTAATTTATATTCGCCTGATTTGATTATAGGTACTCCAATAATCCTAACATAAATACTGTTTTTTAATATCAAATGTATTTATTAGGCACTTATAAATGATGTGTTAAGTATAATGATAACATTTTTAAAATGTAATCGAATCCTCTTAAATATAGATGATATTATTGAAAGATTTGCTAAAGAAAAAAAAAGATGCTTTGATTTTATATCATAAATATCTGAGTGTTGTACTTTATTTAACTACAAGTAAGTATTTGAATTTAAACAAACTTGCTTAAGCTATTTTCTATGAAAGTTTATTAGGTCAAAATTAATCTGAATTAATAATAATTTATTAAAAAATAACTAATCAAAATAATTAATACCTTGTAACATATTTGTAGACAATTAATGAAAAGTAAAAAACAAAAAAGGAAATTTTATTATATCTACAAAAAACGAAAATTCGCCCACCCTCTAGAACAACCTCTGGATCCGCCACTGAGATAATGTCGTTATAATTCATGGTACTCATAGGCTGTATCTAGTGATCAGAATTCATACCTAGTTTTGGACAAATATTTTTCAAGCTAAGTACTGATTAAGTGTTGTGTAAGTCTAGCTCTGTATCTGTAATTTTTGACGGTTAATCAAATATCAATTGCTTACTTGGGTTGTTACCACTTTTACCAAACAGCATGAATCACCGATGTCCAGTTTCTTATCAGCGGGCGGAATTCGTATTGATAACTGATAAGGACTGCAGGTCTCCGAGTGTTTTGGCACTTGCTCGCTACGCTCGCTCGGCGCCGTCGCTTCGCTCCGCTAACTAAAAATATCCTAGGTTTGTAGGCTACAGTCTAGGAGGAGGTTAAAGGTTTAAAATTAAGTTAAAGTAAAGTTTTTTTAAAAAAGTTAAAGAGACTTGATAAGAAGCTGGGAAAAGTGGTGTCTTCCCGCTTAACTTTATGAGTTGAAAACAGATAAAAATTTCTTGAGGTCAGTCGGCTAAATGTTTGTTATTGTTTAAAGCGGTTCCGAGGAGGGTGTCGAGCCAACGCATTGTGTCTTAAAGTAATATCGTTATGTGTCATAGTACCTATATCTAGCTATCAGAATTCAT